AGGCTGTCCTTTGCTTGAAAGTGGGGATTAACTGGGGAGCCACCGCTTTCAACCCAGAAACCTGTCTGCCTCTTGCCATTAACATGCTGTTCACAGCACCCAGGCTGTTTGTATTGAGCGGCCTCCAGGCCCACTGCGAGCCACCCTCAGCACCCCCTTGGCCTCCCTCCCATGCTCATGAAAGCCCAAAGTACAGAGGGTGCTGAGGCGAGAGGGAGCTGGCATGTCAACACTGCCCTGAGCATGCACACACCCAGCTGGCTTGTGGCAGCACCTGGACTCAGCCACAACTTTGCTCCACCCTAGAGTGGACACCAGAAACCAGAGCAGACATTTAAAACCTGTTAGGGCAAGGGGCTTCCTGGGTCCACAAGAGCACAGAGATGCCTGAGTCTGGAGCTGAGGCTGGGCGGCTGCAGCTGCACCTGAACGCATGGGGCTCCCACTCGAGCAATTCAGTAGGGGACGTTCTTGGGACACGCAGCCCTGGATGTGCATCCCCCACTGCAGCTGGCATCCCCACAGTGGCAGCTACAGACAGGCTGCTGCCACCGTCAATATGACATGCCCCCTGACTGGCTGAAGGACAATGACTGTCTGCTATATGGCCATAGCCAACCCATGCCCTCCTTCTGGTTCTGCTTCAAGAGCATCTTCTACATCCATACAGAAACCACCAATATCTGGGCCCATCTGCTTGGCTTTGTGCTGTTTCTCTTTCTGGGACTCTTGACCATGCTCAGACCAAATATGTACTTCATGGATCCTCTACAAGAGAAGGTGTTTGGGGATATTCTTTCTGGGTGCAGGGCTCTGACTCAGCTTCTCCTGGCTCATCCACACCATCTACTGTTATTCAAAGAAAGTCTCTCAGACCTTTCCAAACTGGACTATGCAGGGATTGCTCCACTGATTATAAGGAGCTTCTTTCCCTGGCTCTGTTCCTCCTCCTACTGCTCCCCACAGCCTCAGCCCATCTATCTCTCCATCGTCTGTGTCCTGGGCATCTCTGCCATCCTCGTGGCATAGTGGGACTTGTTTTCCATTTCTAAGCACCCGCAGCAAGGGCAAGGGTGTTGCTGGGACTTGGCTTGAGTGGTGTTGTGCTCACCACGAACTTCACTATCGCTGAGTGAGGACTTTGCCAAGGTCACCACAGTGGGCCAGATGGGCTGGTTCTTCCTCGTGACTGTCACGTACGTCACCAGAGCTGGCCTTTATGCCTCTTGGATTCCTGAACACTTCTTTCCCGGAGAATTTGATATATGGTTCCAGTCTCAGCCTATTTCCCATGTCCTCATGGTGACAGTGGCCTTTGTCCACTTCTGTGAGGTCTCCAACCTTCAGGAATTCTGTCACAGCCGAGAAGGTGGCTGCACTGATGACTCCCTTCTCTGAACCTTCCCATTTCAGGGATGGAGGAGGAACCTCTCAAGTGCTTTTACATTATTTTTGTATCTTTTGAGACAGAGTCTCACTGTCACCCAGGCTGGAGTGCAGTGGTGCCATCTCAGCTCACTGCAACCTCCACCTCCTGGGTTCAAGCAATTCTCCTGCCTCAGCATCATGAATAGCGGAGACTACAGGTGTGTGCCTATTTTTTGTATTTTTACTAGAGATGAAGTTTCGCCATGTTGATCAGGGCGGTCTAAAAATCCTGACCTCAAGTGATCTACCCACCTTGGCCTCCCAAAGTGTTGCGATTACAGGTATGAGCCACTGCACCCAGCCCAGGTGCTTTTAAAAATAACTTCTTTGCTGAAGTGAGAGGAAGACTTTGAGTTTTCTGTTTCTACAAGAAACCTCTTAGAGAATTCAATACCAACTAAGCTTCAGCCACTTTCATACCCACGGGGCAATAACCTTGCCATTTCCATTTTCCTAGCTGAGGATGGGACATAGTGAAACTCATCCCTCCCTTCCACAGCAGTCACCTTCCTCAACAAGGCAACTACCGGCCCCCCACAGGGACAGTACTTTGAAGCAAGCTCATGTTGAGATTTTACCCCAACCATTTTCAGAAAATTACGGACTGAGACTCTTGAGAAATTCTCTTTCTCTGGGAAGAAAATGTCCCTCCCTTATCCCCATCCTTTCCTTGTATCCTGGCTTATAACAGGCTATCTGCTGTTGCAGCACTCTTTCCAAAAACAGTGGTATAACCTGGTCCCATCTTTCTAGGGCCTGGATCTGCTTCCATAGCAGAAAGAACAAAGCCTCCAACTCTGACATCGCCCGGCTAATCACGGAAGTGTGTCCAGGCTTCAAGTAAGTCGAGTTTTATTTTGTTTTTTCTTGGCAGAGGAATGTAAGTAAAATTTAAATGGGGAAATATATTTAATACTAAGCTTTAAAAAGAAATCTGCGGTCCTGGCTGTGTATCTAGAGGCAAAGTCTGTGGTGTTAGAAAGAAAGTAGGGAAGACACCTGGCCTTCAAAGAAAAACGATTAGGAATCAGTCAGGGAAACAACGGCTCGATGACATTAAGAAATTATTGTTTTTAAAATGGTGATATGCTACTGCAATTATGTCTGTTTCCCAATTTTTATACATAAAGTGAAATACTGTATAGGATTTGCTTTGAAATATTCAGCAGGGAGAAAGAGATTGGGAGGAATCAAAAGATGACATTGGTCTTAGATTGAAAGTAACTGAAACTGCTAATGGGCACGTAGGGGCTCGTTACACCATTCTCTCTATTATTCTCATATGTTTGCATTTTCTATAATAAAAAGTCCTCCAGAAATCCCACTCTTGGGCATCTACCCAGAGGAAAAGAAATCATTATAGGAAAAAGATACTTGCACACGCGTGTTTATAGAGCAACACAATTTGGAACTGCAGATATACGGAACCAGCCAAAATGCTCATCAGTCGAGGAGTGGATAAAGAAACTGTGCTGTATATATTTATATCATGGAATACTATTAAGCCATAAAAAGGAACAGAATAATGGCTTCACAGCACCCAGGATGAAATTGGAGACCCTTATTCTAAGTGAAGTGACTCAGGAATGGAACCCCAAACATTGCATGTTCTCACTTACAAATGGGAGCTAAGCTGTGGGGACAGAAAGGCATAAGATGATACAAAGGAATTTGGGGACCTGGGGAGAGGCTGGGAGGGGTGAGGGATAAAAGAAAACAAATAGGGTGCAGTGTGCACTGCCCAGGTGATGGGTGCATCAAAGTCCCAGAAATCACCACTGAAGAACTTATTCATGTAACCAAATACCACCTGCTCCCCGAAAACCTACTGAAATAAAAATAAATAAATACATAAATTGGATTGTGGTGATGGTTATATCATTCTGTCAATATAGTAAAAATAAATGGCCCATTTCGAGTGGGTGAAATGTATCATATATAAATTATATCTATGTAAAGCCATTAAAATAGAAAACAACCCTTGAAGCAGGATTGTGTCTTATTCCCCAGTTCTTAATGCATCCTCCTCAGATGCAGTACGCATTCCATAACAAATGAATGAATGAATGAGTGAATGAATGAATACGACGAATCTCATAATAGACCCCTGCTGCACCATCCCTTATGTGAACATCCAGAATTGAAGGTGCTAGGAAGTCAACAAGAGGTGACTATGTGACCATGACGTCAAGACAATGGAGAAGCAGAGTAAAGTCAAGTCATAACAAGCTAAGCTGGAAGACAATCAGCTCGACTCAGACCCGTTACCCTTGTGAACCTTGTCTGCACTCAAGCTGCAGGTCACCTTGTGCCATCCCTGCCCTCAAGCCAGCTCAGGAAACACAAAGCGTTCCAGTTGCTGAGGCTTTGCACACACTCTTTCTATCGAGCACATATTAACTTGTCTGTTCACATTGCATTACAGGGGAAAGTTCTATTGACTTTCCTGAAGAAACAGTCATTACATGGCAACTAACCAGGACAACTTTATTAGAGCCAAATTGAAAAAGCAATTCTGATATTTTAAAATTTCATAGCCCAAGCTCCTTGGAGGCAAGAACCGTGACTTGGTGTCTCTGTGTTCCTGTGGTGAGTGCCACCAAAGTTTAGCCCAGTGGTTTTTTTCAACAAATATTGGTTGAGTGTCCACTTTGCCCTGAGCACTAGGAATGAACCGTGCATGAGATGGAGCATCTGACCTCATGGAGCTTATCTTCTAGTAGAGAAATCAGACAAATACGTCTTATTATGCCAGATGGGCACCAGAAAAACCAGGCAGGATGTGGGTGGCAAGGGCAGAGGTGGGGTCTCTCTGGGGAGGTGACCATTGAGCAGACACTGAGTGAAGGGAGGAAGTGAGCTGCGGAAGGGGATAGCAAGGCTGCTCTGGGCAGCCAACAGCAAGTGACAGGTTCTGAGTGGGAAGAAGCGTGGTAAGTTCTAGACTGGTAAGAAGGCCAGGATGGTTGGAGCGGGGGGAGGAAGGGAAAGGATGGGCAGAAGGGGGTCAGAGGCCAGGTGTGGTGGCTCATGCCTGTAATCCCAGCACTTTCGGCAGATCACCTGAGGTCAGGAGTTCAAGACCAGCCTGGACAACATGGTGAAACCCTGTCTCTAATAAAAGTACAAGGAAAAAAGAAATTAGCTGGGTGTGGTGGCACATGTCTGTAATCCCAGCTACTTGGGAAGCTGAGGCAGGGGAATGGCTTGAACCCGGGAAGCAGAGGTTGCAGTGAGCCTAGATACTGCCACTGCATTCTAGCCTGGATGACAGAGCAAGAATCCGTTCCCTCTCAGAAAACAAGCAAACAAATACACAAAAAGGAGCAGGTGTGAAAGGCTAGAGGGCCCTGTCCTGTAGGCCTCCTAAGGTGTGGTGAGAAACACAGGATTTCTCTTAGTTGCTATAGAGCCATTGAAGTCTCCAGCAGGGAGTTAATGCATCTGGTTTACCTTTTAAAAGGATCACAGTAGCTCCCTAAGCGGGGCCCAGGACCAGCTCAGACCCTTGGCAAATGGATTCCAGGCTCCATGCAGGCCTGCTGAGTCAGACCGGAAGGGAGGCCCCAAGCCCGCTGCCACTCCTGGGGCTCTGCGCCAGGTCCTGGGCTGAGTGTGCTCCCTGCATGATTGCTTTCAATTTCTGTAAACTTGTGATGTGGGGATTCTTAGCAGCATCCCACAGAGTGGAAGCCAAGGTCCTGAGAGGCAAAGCCACTTGCCTAAGGTCCCTGGGCTTATATGAGCAGAGCCCTGGACTCCTCCCTGTACCATGAGGCGCCTCCCACCTCTCCCCTCCTCACAAGCTTCCTGTAAATCTAAGACCAGGGATAAGAAGTGGGGCTCAGACGGGCTATGTGAATTGCCCAAGGTCACCGATCTAGGATTGGGTGCAGCCAGTGTTCACAGAAGGATCCTCTGATGCCTCTACTTGAATGCCTCCAGTAACAGGCGACTCATGACCCTCTCCATTTTAATGATAGTGGAAGAGCTTGTTTTTAAAGAAGACCTTTTCAAACTTAATGTGCATATGAACTCTAGAGAGTTTTCTTAAAATGCAGGTATCTTATACCTATCCTAAGTGATTCTGATTTCAGTGGGTGGGTAGGTCCAAGACCCACAACCTTGCATTTCAAGAAGCTCACCTTTCTGCTAACAGAAGGTTATGAGCTCTCCATGAGGAGGGGCTCTGACTTGGTCCAGAGATCTGCCCTGTCTGTATGTGAGCAGGAAGCTGAGGGGTGGGGAGGAGGTGATGGGAAGGCAGTCCCCAGGAGATGCAATGGGAGCCTTGAAGTATCTGTGGGGTGCCTGGAACAGAGAAGCAGCCACTTTGTGAGTGTCACAAATTATCATTATCATTAATATTTGAACTTGATGTCCTCTTTGTCACGCTACTTTCAGACCAAGGACCCCAGAGGATATGGACACCCCTCAGTGGTGGCCGGTAGTCACTGTGCTCACGGCTGGGGCTCATTTTGCGGCCCTGGTTGACCAAGAAGCTTCTCATCTCATCCATTTTGGCCCCAAGGAAAGCAGCCCTGGGCCTGCCCTGCCACAAATCTCTGTGAGCAACATAGACTTTGCCTTCAACCTCCGCAGACAGTTGGCTTTGAACAACCGTGGAGGGAACATTCTCTTCTCCTCGGCAAGCATCTCCCTGGCCTTGGCCATGCTTTCTCTCGGGGCCCCAGTGGCCAGCAGGACCCAGCTCCTGGAGGGTCTGGGGTTCAATCTCACTGTGGTATCTGAGGCAGAGATCCAGGAGGGCTTCTGGGATCTGCTGCTCAGGCTCCTGGGGCAGGGTCCCCAGCTCCTCCTGACCACGGCCCAGTGCGGGTTCAGTGGCCTGGGCTCAGGGACCAACCAGAGCCTAGAGGAGGCCCCAAAACACATTGATGAATACATAGAGAAGCAGACCCAGGGGAAGCTCGGGGCCTGGGAAAAGGACCTCGGCAGTGAAATGGCAGCGGTTCCGGTGAATCCCATACTCCTCAGAGGTAAGAGGGTGTGTGCCCCATGCAAGTCTCCTTCCCAGACTCCCAGAACACAGGCTCCAACCATACCCTAGCCCCACCCCTCACAGCATCTGGAAAGTGCCCCTCTGGACTTGGATAAAGATGACACTCAGTGAGCATCTGCCCCTGGATCCTTGATGCCTCTACTTGAATGCCTCCCGTAACAGACGACTCATCACCTTCTCCATTTTAATGATACTTGAAGAGTTTGTTTTTAAAGACTTTTTCAAACTTAATGTGCATATGAACTCTCCAAAGAGTTTGCTTAAAATGCAGGTATCTTGTACCTATCCTAAGTGATTCTGTTTTCAGTGGATGGGTAAGTCCAAGACTTGTGTTCGAAGATGCTCACCTCCCTTCCCGACACAGGTTCTGCTAATGGAAGGCTATGACCTCCCCTTTGAGTAACTCTAGAAGCCACCACTCTATTAAGTAAGATGAATTTCCTTCTTCTGGCAGGCCTTAGGAGGCATGAATCAGAGCAGGAAGAGTCCTAAAGCAGGGAGGCCCTAAATTTTTTCCAAGAGAGCAAACAGGCCACATGGCCCCACCCCTGTGTGTGTTTAAACAATACGGTCATGACACTCAACCCACGGCTGTTAATGTCTGGCTTAGTTTAACAGTCAGACCATACTGATGTCATGGTGGCCATTGACTGTTAATGTCTGGCTTAGTTTAACAATCAGACCATACTGATGTCATGGTGGCCATTGACTGTTAATGTCTGGCTCAGTTTAACAATCAGACCATACTGATGTCATGGTGGCCATTGACTGTTAATGTCTGGCTCAGTTTAACAATCAGACCATACTGATGTCATGGTGGCCATTGACTGTTAATGTCTGGCTTAGTTTAACAATCAGACCATACTGATGTCATGGTGGCCATTGACTGTTAATGTCTGGCTTAGTTTAACAATCACACCATACTGATGTCATGGTGGCCATTGACTGTTAATGTCTGGCTTAGTTTAACAGTCAGACCATACTGATGTCATGGTGGCCATTGACTGTTAATGTCTGGCTTAGTTTAACAGTCAGACCATACTGATGTCATGGTGGCCATTGACTGTTAATGTCTGGCTTAGTTTAACAATCAGACCATACTGATGTCATGGTGGCCATTGACTGTTAATGTCTGGCTTAGTTTAACAATCAGACCATACTGATGTCATGGTGGCCACTGACTGTTAATGTCTGGCTTAGTTTAACGGTCAGACCATACTGATGTCATGGTGGCCACTGACTGTTAATGTCTGGCTTAGTTTAACAGTCAGACCATACTGATGTCATGGTGGCCATTGACTGTTAATGTCTGGCTTAGTTTAACAGTCAGACCATACTGATGTCATGGTGGCCATTGACTGTTAATGTCTGGCTTAGTTTAACAATCAGACCATACTGATGTCATGGTGGCCATTGACTGTTAATGTCTGGCTTAGTTTAACAATCAGACCATACTGATGTCATGGTGGCCATTGACTGTTAATGTCTGGCTTAGTTTAACGGTCAGACCATACTGATGTCATGGTGGCCATTGACTGTTAATGTCTGGCTTAGTTTAACAATCAGACCATACTGATGTCATGGTGGCCATTGACTGTTAATGTCTGGCTTAGTTTAACAATCAGACCATACTGATGTCATGGTGGCCATTGACTGTTAATGTCTGGTTTAGTTTAACGGTCAGACCATACTCATACTGATGTCATGGTGGCCATTGACTGTTAATGTCTGGTTTAGTTTAACGGTCAGACCATACTGATGTCATGGTGGCCATTTGGAGGTAGGCAGGGGACAGGTGTTGTTATCCCATTGTTTTCATTCAGGACTCAGGAGGTGAACTCCATCCTCACATTTGTATAGTGCTCTGTGGGTCTCAGAGTGTGTGTACCCCACAATCTCCCTTGACTCTCTCGTCTGGGTGAAGCACATTAGGCTTATCTTAGCAAATATGCCTAAGATCAATGTTCCCATTTTACAGATGAGAAAACAGATCTTTTTTAAAGAAAAAAATTTCCTTGAGCCAGTAGGCATCACTCAAATATGCGTCTTTGACTATTGAAGGTGTGTATGTGTAAACATGTTTACACATATGTGCACACACACACTGAGTGGGTAGTTCTTATCCACATGCCAGCTCTGCGCCTATTTAGTTGCTAATTCTCATCACAACCCAACAAGGTAGATATTATCACGTCCACTTGAAAGATGAGAAAACTGACGCAAAGTCGGGAAACTCGCCCTCGATTTCAAAGCCAGGCAGAGCCCAGCTTTCAGATCCACACCTGCCTTCAGGAAGCTTGTGCCACAGTGATGTTTTCTCTTAAAAATTAACCGCCTCCAGGAGAGATTAAGGAGATGAGAGAGGATTGCTGTTTATGTGATTATAATTTTATCCTATTGTAATAGCATCAAATATTGATCATTTTCAATTGAGGAAACAGAAGCTCAGGGAGGCTGAGAGCTCAGGCCCCAGGGCTACACTGGTACTAAGGGACTGACCTCTCAGGAGTGAGTTATTGAGTGGGACTTGGCTTCCTGAGTGTGGACTCCAAGATTCCAGCATCCAAGCTGCTTTTCCCACTCCCACAAGCTGCCAAAAGGGTGACCCCAAGCCCGTTCTCAGTTCTCTGTGAGGATGACATCCATGTTGCTCTTCCCCTCAGCTGAGTGGACAAAGCCCTTTGACTCAGCTGCCACCAGCCCAAAGGAGGTCTTCGTACACAAGCACAGGACTGTGTGGGTGTCCATGATGAAGGAGAAGGCCAGCCACCACTTCCTGCATGACCCTGAGCTGTGGGGCTCTGTGCTGCAGATGGACCATGCTGGGAACACCACCACCTTCTTCATCTTCCCCAATAGGGGCAAGGTGAGGCAGCTGAAAGATACTCTGCTGCCTGAAATACTGGTTAAGTGGGACAGTCTGCTCAGGACCAGGTAACCTGCACACAGCAGAGCCCCATGGAGGCCGGCCCTGCCATCTCCCTCATCCACTCTAAAGAATCCCCAGGGTACAGTCACCCCAAGGGCACTGTCACCCCAAGGGCACTGTCACCCCAGGGCACTGTCATGTCTAGGGCACTGTCACCCCAGGGCACTATCATCCCCCAGGATGCTGTCACTTCCAGTGCACTGTCACCCCCAGGCACAGTCACCCCAGGACACTATCCCTACTCAGAACACTGTCATTCCCAGGGCACTGTCACCCCAGGGCACTGGCACTGTCACCCCAGGGAAGGACACTGTCACCCCAGAACACTGTTCCTACTCAGAGCACTGTCACTCCCAGGGCACTGTCATCCCCCAGGATGCTGTCACCCCCAGGACACTCTCACCTCCAAGACACTGTCATCACTTAAGATATTGTCACCCTCCCAGAGTACTGTCACATCCAGAACACTGTCATTCCTCGGGGCACTGTTATTTCCAGGACACTGTCCCCCTACAGGTATTGTCAACCCTCCAAGACACTGTTGCCCCCAGGACACTATCATCCCCCACCCACAGCATCATCACCTTCAGAACACATTGTCATGGCACTGTCACCACAGGGACACAGTCACCCCCCATGGTATTGTCACCCTCAGGGCTCTGTCACCCTCCAGGACACTGTCACTGGCCTCCTTGAAAATATCAGTTTGGGTCCCAGGGAGTAAGGGCTGGAGAGAGCATGGGCCCAGGAGTCTGTAGGCTGGTCCCAGTCCCAGCTTTGCTGCAGACACCGTGACCTGTCATGGGCTCCCTGGGCCTCTCACACTGTTTAAGAGTCTGGTGCTCTGGCTTGCCCCAGTCTCAGCCTTCTCCCTCCTCTGCCTTGCCGTCTGTGTTCCCAACCCCTTAATGCTTGTTCCTGGAACCCACTGAGCTCCCTGCAGTTCTTTGCATTTGCCAGGCTATTCCCCAGCCCTGGGCGTTTGTGTGTGTGAATTCTCATCCTGGCATGCCCTTTTTTGACCCAGTCCTCTTTGGGAGTCTTCTTTATTCAAGGCATAGCAGAGCTATGAAGGCTTGATGGGTCAATGTAACAGGCAAGGTGTGCCCCCTCTGGGTTCCTGGGAGCATCATCGTATCACCTGCTATTATCACATGGGAATAACAGTGTCTTCCTCATAGGGCTTCCGTGTCATTGTATCTACAACCCCCTTTCCACACTGAGGTGAATTGGGGGTGATATGCCATTTAGAAATCTCACACCCACTGCCCCTTGGAGAATGGACTGGAGGGGGTGTGTGGGGCAGAGGGACCCAAGGCAGGGAAGAAGGTGAGAGGCTGTTTCAGGGTCTCTACTGCAACCCAAATTCTGTCTCTCCACAGAGAACTCGATTTCCACTTCCCCAAGTTTTCCATTTCCAGAACCTACAGACTGGAGGTGGAGCGACAAGAGTGACTGTGGGTGGAGGCTTCCCCGGGCAGCTGGACTGAGCATCTCTAAAGTAACTGGGGATGGTGAGTTCAGAGGAACTCTCGGTGTCTTTTGCTGAACACTGGAGGGAGCGCTCCAGTACCTCCTTAGAGACGGAGATGCTGTTTCCTTTAACATTGCAAGTTGCTGTTTGCTTCCTTCCATTTATTCCATGACTGCAACCTGCCTTTGTCAAGACACTGGGGACCCCGAAGGAGATAAGGAGAGGGAAGGCAGCAGCTATGCACTTCATGTCCCAGGTTGAAAGAGCAGAGGATACTTCCTGGGGAGGTCACTCCTGCTTTTAAGCCTAAAGGACAAGCTATGAAAGAAGGGACTCAGATGGAACATGGGTAACAGCTTGGTCCCCAGGGAACTGCAGGTTTCTAAGTATTCCACGATCGAGTCATCACCCTCCTGCCCAGAGCATGTCTCCCACTGTCCATAGCGTGCTGCTTGACTGAGCTTCATGGCATCCCACATGCCCCCATAGTTTTCACCTTCCTACTTTGGCTCAGACTTTTAATATTTAAACCCCCCAGAATGTTCTCCCATCTCTGAATATTCAAATGATATCAAGTCTTTCAGGTGTTGTGCAAATGTTACCTTCTCCATGAAGGTTTCTCTGCTCTCATCCTTCACCCCCACTCTCAAAAAGAAATCTATCCTGATAACTTTCCACTCTTGCTTTCGTTACCTGTCTTATCTTCTCAATCAAATGATGAGCTCCTTCAAAGTCAGTCCAATCCATGTTTCTATCCCCTACCATCTCTGGCACAGTGGATTGCACAGCATTGGTGGTCAGTAAATGCTTAATGAATAAATTCATGACTAAATGAGTGATGCAGTGAGTGAGGAGAAATGAGTGAAATGAAGTGAATGAAAGAATAAGTCAATTAGGATTGGGTGAAAGAGTGGTTGGATGAATGGATGGATGCATGGATGGAGTAATGGGTGGGTGGACAGATAGATGCCGGTGTGATATTCAAAATAAACTGCCATCAGTATAATGCAGATGCCAGCCATAAAAATGGGTATAGATGGGGATATTGGTGATTGGATGAATGAATAGGTGACAAGTGAGTAGCTGGAATCATGGATGGAAAGATGTGTGGGTAGTGAGGTGCATGGATGATGTGTGGATGGATGTGTAAGTTAGTGGTGCATGGACAGGTACATGAATACATGAATGGTGCATGCAGAGATAAGTGAATGGCTGAGAGGGGATGGAGTATGGTTGGCTGGCTGGCTGGTTGAATGAATCAATGACAGATGGACAAGCATCAGACAGGAGTATTTAAGAGTAATAGATGGATAGTGAAGTTTTTAAAGGATAGATAGAAGAATGACTAACTGTGTAAGTGAATAGATGGATACATATGGGGTTAAGTAACAGAATAGAAAAAAAATTGGCCCCAACATCAAGACCTGGTTTTTGCATCTTATGGGGTGGCTTGATGATTCTAGAATTTTCCTTGCAGGTCACTCATAAGGCCATGATGACTTTGGATAAGAAGGGCTCTGAAGCTGCTGCAGCCACCAGAGTCCAGCTCACCACAGGGCCTCGCCCAGACCTTGACCTCCCACCCTCTTCAGGCACTGAGTTCAATCGGCCCTTCCTAATGATGACTTTCCACATGGAAATGGGAAGCATGCTTTTTCTGGGGAAGATTGTCAAGCCACTGGGATAATGCTCTTTCCGACATGCTGGGCGACTCAAAGGGAAGAGAATGGCCTACACAACAGGGAACTTCTATTGCAGGCTCAAGTTTAATGAGAAGTTACATATACCTGGGTTTTTTGCTTGGTTTTCACAGGAACCTATGGGGATGAGGATAGTAACATTGAACAGGGCTGTTCTGCACACAGTTAGCAGCTACCACTGAGCAAACACCTACTGGGCAGCAAATGCTTTCTATCTCTTATCTCACTTTAAAATGAATAACCACAACAATCCAACAAAATAAGTGTTTGGTTGAACCATATGAAATTGCTTACGCTTCAGTTGCACCTATATTTTGTAGATACAAAAAAAAGGCAACTTCTTATGATCCAACCCTTACCATAGCTGAGGATCAGAGAATTTTATAGACGTGCTCAGGCTCACTGAGCTAGAAAGCAGGCGAGCTCCATTCCAGTCTTATCCATTTTGCTAAATTAATGAATCTCAAACTTTACAGTATGTACAAATTCCCTGTGGATCTTTTTATAAAGCAAATTTTAATTCAATAGGTCTGGGATGGGGCCTGAGGTCCCATATTTCTTGTAAGGTCCCGGTGATGCCAAGGCTGCTGGTAGGGTGGCCACACATTGAACAACAGGTTGCTAAACTCACTTGGCCCCATAATCCCCAGAGAGGTTAAGCTGGTGTGGCCAGCAGCGCAGAGGCGTGACACTGGCCCCTTAATCCACGTGTGGAGTTGAGAAAAATATGAGTGACACCTTTTTGAAGCCTACAGACAAAGTTTGCTTTAGGGTCACTTATTAATGAGTAGATTGGGGAAAACAAGTATCCTAAATAAAGATGTTTTGCCCAGTCTGGACACCAGTGGATATTTGTAACTGTGAGTGACCTTCTGTATTAGTCTGTTCTCACACTGCTAATAAAGACATACCCAAGAACTGGTAATTTATAAAGAAAAAGGGGATTAATGGACTCACAGTTCCATATGGCTGGGGAAGCCTCATAATCGTGGCAGAAGGTGAAAAGGGAGAAAGGCACGTCTTACATAGCGGCTGGCAAGAGTGTGTGTGCAGGAGAACTGCCCATTATAAAACCATCAGATCTCATGAGATTTATTCACTCTCATGAGAATAGCATGGGAAAAACCCACCCCCATGATTCAATTACCTCCCAACAGGTCCCTCCCATGACTCACGGGGATTATTACAATCCAAGGTGAAATTTGGGTGGGGACACAGAGCCAAAAACCGTATCATCTTCCATATAAGTTACTGCAACTGTGACTTTGGCTGTCACCTGGCTCATGTTCCTGGATCTCCAACTGCACAAAAGAAGGGACCCACACAGGCTTTAGGGCCAGGCACATCTGAGACCAAATATTATATCTGCTGCAAAGCAGGTTCACTGTACACTGGTGACCAAATTGCTTGGGTCCAATGAGACCCGCACATGAGTTAAGTGGGTTTATTACTGACAGATGGGAAGCAAAGGACAGCAGAAGCCTAGGATTCATTGCAAGCTGGGTCCCCAAGGTGCAGGAAAGCAGCCTGGGGAACATGGGGTCTCATCTGTGTGTGCTCCATTTGCACAGCAGCTGAGGAACCCCAGAAGGCAGCCTGCCCTGGGTGTCTTGGTCTATTTGCGTTGCTACACAGGAATACCTGAGGCTGGGTAACTTGTAAAGAAAAGAGGTTTATTTGACTGACAGTTCTGTAGGCTATACAAGAAGCATAGCATCAGCATCTGCTTCTGGTGGGGGCATCAGCCTGCTTCCACTCATGGTGGAAGACAAGGGAAGCCATCATGTGCAGAGATATAGTGGGAGAGCAGAAGCAAGTGAGAGGGGAGGGAGACATCAGGATCTTTAGGATCTTTCTTTCTTTCTTTCTTTTAAGATGGAGTCTTGTTCTGTTGCCCAGGCTGGAGTGCAGTAGTGTGATCACAGTTCATTGCAGCCTCAATTTCCCAGGCTTAATCAATCCTCACAACTCAGCCTCTCAAGCAGCTGGGACTACAGGCACACACCTTCAGGCTAATTTTTTATGGCATTTTGCCATGTTGGCTGCACCAGGCTCTTTTTAACATCAGTGCTCTCAGAAACTGAGTGAGAAATCACTTACTCCTATAAAAATGGCACCAAACCATTCATGAAGGATCTGCCCCCATGACCCAGATGGGACCCCAGCAGGCCCTGCCTCCAGCACTGGGAATCAAATTTTGACATGAGACATGGTGGGGCCAAACAAACCATATCCAATCTTTAGCACTGGGTTTTATACCCAGCGGCAACATGATTGCTGGGCTGAAGTGTTGAAGAACATCATGTTTCTAGGGAGGATGGGAACAGCCTGAGCTGTCCTGGCCAGTCTCTCCCTATCTCAGGGTATTGCATGCCCAGCACATGCTACAGTTATTCTTGAGAACTACAAATGAGAAAGAAGTGGAGGAGAGATGGATCATCCAAGTTTACCTGGAGAACTACCTTACACCTGGCTCTTACTAGATGCCTATCCTAGAGCCATACCAAAGACAGCAGGAGGACACACACAGACACACACAGAGACACAGACACAGACACACACATGCAGACAGACACACAAACACACAGAGACACACACACAGAGACACAGACACACACACAGACACAGTCACACACACACAGAGACACACACAAACACACACAGACACAGACACACACACAGAAACACACAGAGACACAGACACACACATAGACACAGACACAGTCACACACACACAGACACACACAAACACACACACAGAGACACAGACACACATGGACTCAGACACAGAGATACACACACACACAGAGACACACACAAACACACACACAGACACACGCACAGAGACACAGACACATGCACAGAGACACAGACACACACACAGAGACACAGACACACACAGATGCACAGACACACACACACACACACAGACACACAAACACACAAACACACAGAGCAGGCTGGGGAAGAGGCAAAGCAGAGCTCCAGGGATGTGGCCGAGAAAGTCAGCAGGGAAAAAGGAGAGAAAATTTCACAGACCCCCAAAGCAGAGCAGAAAAAATTGTTTCCAGAGGCTGTTCAGAGCTGGCCCCCCAGCCCCTACAGCCCTGTCACTTAGCAGGTCTAGAGATCCCCTTGCAGCTGCCAGGACTGGGAGGAAGGAAGGCAAGCAGGGCAGGACAGACAGGGCCTGCTGGAGAAAATCTCACCAAACCAGGCTTGGCATCTGTGCTCCTCATGGCCCTGTGCCTGGCTGGGGGAGGGGGTGGAAGGGTGGCAAGAAAAGTGGTCCAATATGGCTGGTCTGCGTGGGCCCCAGATGCCCACAGGCTCATTAGGAGAGGCCAGGTGGGTAACCCAAGAGCCCCGAAGGTGTGGCCCGTAGAACTTTGCTCTGCAAAGGGGACTCTGTCTGGGGTTCAAGGTGGGTCAAAGTAAAACATGAAACGCTTGCACGCTGCTCCGGAGGAAATGCACCGTGAAGCAAAGCGATTCCCCCAAATTTATCTCTGATTTTTCTTTTATTGTAGTAAAAGCATTTAACATGGATCTACCTTTCAACAATTTTTTTTCACAGACAGGGTCTCACTCTGGAGGCTGGAGTGCAGTGGCACCATCATGGCTCACTGCAACCTCTGCCTCCTGAGCTCCAGTCATCCTCCCACCTCAGCCTCCTGTAGGCAGGCGCCACCACACTCAGCTCATTTTTGTATTTTTTTGTACAGATGGAATTTCACTATGTTTCCCACTCTGGTCTTGAACTCCTGAGCTCACACAATCCACCCACCCTGGCCTCTCAAAGTGCTGAGATTACAGGCGTGAGCCACCATGCCTGGCCAAAGATTTTAACTGAGAAAAAAAGAGTGGGCTGCTAAAAATACTGTACATTTAAAACATCCTACAATCATATTGTATAACTCGCTATTTCCCAGGGAGTGGAAAGTGGCTGTTAATGTCCCCATGGCAAAGTGAATAAGAAGCCGGCCTGGGAACATGGGCCTCTGAGTCAAGGGGCCTTGGTTTCTTGCCTGAATGCTGACCTTGTCTAGCTGTGTAACCTCAGGCATGCTGCCGTAATGGCTTCCTCCCTCCCTTGTGGATTGGGATAATACAGCCTCCTTCATGGGGTTGTTGATACAGTAAAATGAGTCACTAACCCCTAAGCACTTAGGAGCATGCGGGACACCTGCAGCCTGGGGAGGCAGCAGCTGCTGTGACCTTCACAAGGGACCCTGAAGACGTGGGGCTGATCTTAGCCACAGGACCACAGACAGCTCACTTCTATGAGGCACCCACTATCTTCTCACATGCTCAGCGAGGACATGGGTCTAAAGCAGTGGTTCCCCACCTGGGCTGCACAGTGAAGTCATCGGAGAGGTGTTGAAGTGACACTGACCCCAGGTCTCACTCCACAGTCTCTGACATCATTGCTCAGGAGTGGGCCTGGGCATCCGTGTTTTTTATAAGTTCTCTGGCAATTCGCTCTTGCCACAACTGAGAACCCCCGCTTTAGCTCATTATAAAGCCCTTTCCAGTTCTAAAGTTCTGAGGCTGGACTGATCTTGATTCCAAAAGTCTCTGACAGGGCACCTCATGTGTTTGGAGCACTGGGTTAGGTCCCTGGCCTAGCTACGTCTCATTGCCTGGGAAAGGCTTGATGTGGCTGCAGCTGGAAGTTTTCAAATGAGATGTGGTTCTTTTCTTAATATTAAACTGTCTCCATCTTGCCAACTTTTCAAATAAACTAACTTTGAAAACAGTAACCGTACAGCTGAAATTTATTGCCCCACAATCTCTGTAGGTTAAACACGAGAAAGAAATTGTCTTTGGGCAACTCTAACTTACCCTTATGTTGACACTGGGTCATGCGCGTTCTACTCCACCTTTGCCTTCAATTTAATACTTTTTTAAAAAGTTGGAGAAATTAATAACTTTCAGATATACAAAAAATGAAATAGGAAGGAAGAAGAAAAGGAGAAGGAGGAGAAGAAAAAGAAGAAGAGGGACAAGAAAGGAAGAAAGAGGAGGAGGAGCAGGATGAAAAGAGAAAGGAGGAGGGAAGGCCTGCTTTGTATACAAGAGCAATCATGATGGCAAATAAATCACTAAGGACAAACTTGAAAACTATGCAAGCTCTAGGCAGAGGAAAAAATTTTAAAGCTGCAAAAGAACAAAAGGAATGCTTGAACAAATAAAAAGGCACATCGTGGCCTTGGATGGGAATACTCCACACCATAAAGATGTCAGCTCTTCCTAA